CCACATTAAAAACACATTGATAAGTGACCTGCTTTCCTGAGTGCATACTGTATTCTCATCGCACGATTCTCCAGGTGTCGCAGTTCTTCTGGGCTGCTGCGCTACGCATTCATCATTCTGCAGGATTGGCTTCTCCGATGGGCAAGCGCACAGCTGAAGTGGTTCGAGTCAGTTCCAAGAGTTACAAAATTATGTTCTTAATGATAAAAAGAGGCATCAGTTGTTCGAGATAAGGGGGCCGAACTGAAAAGTAGTGAAATTATCCCCTAACCCCTGGTGGTACTCCTATGTACATACTTTCACTCTCACGAAACTTTCCTTCTCCTCCCCCCCCCCTTTTTTTTCCCCTCATCTCCAAGAGCTAGACAGGAAAGTAGCGCGAATTTGCAGCGGCTACATATAATCCGTATATATTCCTCGGCGACGACTTTTGAAGTTTTAGGGGTCCTTGGCGGTGAATAGAGGAGGGAAGGGGTCGCATTCGTTTGATGGATGTGTCACGTAGTACCAGGTTCAGCCACATAACGAAGGATACCACCGTCGTGGGGAATCATGGGAGAAGAAGTAGATCGTTTCCGTGGGTCCGCGAGTGGGAGTACGACCAAGAGGAGGGGGGGTGGCGAGGAGAATGGGACAAAGGCGGAGTCGTTTTCGCCAAAATTCCTCGACATGGCTCACATTGGTCATTATTCACATTCCTATTTTAAATATTCAATCGAAATAAACGACATATAAATGCAATAGTGGCCGAAGGCCACGGCAAAAGTAATAGCGAGAAAAAACCTCTTGACGCTGAATGCGAACGTACCCCTTTCTCGTTACAGTTACTTCCAGCCACACAGATTTCACCATTGGAACATTTCTGACCTGGGCGAGCATATGTAGGAGTGCCTAGGAATTGTGTCGATTAAAATGCATTGCATGCTTACTGGTTCGAATAGTACGAAGTAAATATGGTGTGATAGGATAGCAGTGTAAGTTCAATCGTTCAAAAGGACATTCTATATGCAGTTCCAGTGCACACACGTGTGGTAAATTTTCGAAATATTAGAATTGGAATCGATATTTCCAGCCCAATCTATCAATTAGTACGACAGTCAAATTGATTAACACCTTGACGACAGCGTAATTACCATGCGAATCATGCTTTGCAAGCCGCGCGGGACGGTGTGATCCGTATGTATACCGCACCGGAGTAACTCTCGTTTGTGCATGCGCAGCGCGTCGTGCAGAGTTTTGTTTTGCATTCATACTACAGATCGTCCCTTAACGTAACTATAAATAAAGTGGGTCGCAGAATAGTCAGACATGCCGTAGTTTAGCAATAAAAAGTTGCAAAAAAAAACTCTATAGACAAAGATATAGTATGTGTTCCCACGGAAACATTTAAACAGAAGTGATTTTGGCGCTCAGGTGCAGTGAGATCCTATGTATTTTGCTTTCTCATAGCCATCACACATTCTTTCGGCCAAAATTTTACCGTTGTAAACTGGATGCTTGTACAGGCAATGATCACAATGACTGGAGGGCGGTGCGGTTGGATGACGTCATTTAACGCCATTGGGACAATAGACTCCTCAGCGCGCCTAGGGGCGTGGTTGTGACGGCCTCGCAAAGCCGTTCCAGACGTTCAAAGACGTTTTCAAAACCACACCACCCACCCTTTGAAATATTGATCAATATTCATATTTTCCATATTCACAACCCGAAATCTACGGGTCGTGTGGTGAGACAGCCACGCTGGCAGAACCACTTCGGTCTTAGGCGGCCAAGAAAAACGCCAAAACGCACGCTATCGTCAAGGTATCAACTCTTGAATTATGAGAGCCTCAAGTACACATTGACCAAAAAGTAGCCTGCAAAACCGTAGTGAAGTTATTTCAGGCTGCATTTTCATGTACACAAGATACCATAGCTAACTATTATAGAATTCCAGCTTAGTAGTTTTCAGCACAGCACACAACAAGCATTTCTCATGAGAAATTCGCAAAAAGCAGTGTCGCGTTAGCAAATGAAAGCCGTTCAAGAAAATACACGTGAATTTGGTATTCGAATAAGAACGGATGCAAAATTGACTTTTTCAGTAGAAGCGTGAATTTTAAGAGCAAAAGCCTATGAATCAGCAGGATGAGCGGGTTTGGGTCAGGACTTCCGACCAGTCATCTAGCCTCAAGGGGCAGGCCGCTCGCGGCGATCATTGAAAACTGTAAACGTACAGATACGAATATGTATGGATGAGAAGCCCTCAGATCATGCTCAACTTCGGTGTTTTCATTAGAATGACTCTTAAAGGCAGTGGGTACTACACAATCCGAAAATTTAACAAATGGAAATCGATGGCACCTGCTCATCTGTAAAGCGAAAATTAGCTTTCACGAACGAATTGGCTCATTTTGTGCCAAACATTGAGTATTTAGGAACCTAACTGGGCCTTATCTGCGGCAGGGAACACATTCGTGAGTTGAGATCAGGCTCCTATTGGCTGCCTCCAGCTGCTGATCTCTGCCTCTACAGCGCTCTTCGAGCAGAGAGTCAGAGCGGCTCGTTCACGTTGATGAGGTTAGGTGTTGTTGAATCTCTTCTAATGTTGAGATTACGGGTACCCGACAGGAGGCCCGTCGCGCGGCAAGACGGCAGTTTCAGTGGACGAGTTCCAGCGCGTGATGTGCGACTGTAGGACTAGTACATTCTATTTACTTGTCGCAAAATCACTACAGTACACATTGCGACTCGTCCACTGACCCTGATTTGTTGTCACGTCACGAGAAGCTCCTGTCAGGTACCCGAGCGAGATTTACGGACAGAATGAGGGTCTTATTTTTCGGAGTTTGAGCCGTTTCTTTTGATTTTTTCCACTGCTGCACCACTGAACATGTGCAGATTTATCTTCGTAGGGGGAATGAATTAGAGTACCCACTGCCTTTAAGTAACATTTTAAACATCATATGTTATCAAAAATTCTACCAAAATACACGGTAAAGAATATCGTTCAGTCTATTTTTGGGGTTGTCTCATTTCATTTCATTTTTTACTGGCATCTTCGCCGCGACCACGACGCATTTGCCGCGCGCGTGGCGATGCCACCACCTGTCGGGAGTCCTGACCGTCTCCCAATATTAGTGCCCTCGCCTTTAAGGTCTTGTAATTGCAGTAAATGAAGCTGAGAGCCAAAAAGGACTCTATTCACGTGCACTATAGCAGAGATAAGCTGAATGTACTACTGGAAGCCAAACAAACCACCTTGATGTCTCGCTTTTCCGCGTGCTTTTTTCCGTCCAGCTTCATGCGGTGGTACACATCCGTCATGGTGCAGCACATAATCATCAGGACACTGACAGCTAAGATCACGACACACAGTGTTGCTGCGACAGTACAAGCCAATCGCAGCGCATTCATCGGTTTCTGAAGCCGTATTAGCGAAGGTTAGCAATGGTGTTGTAGCATGCGTGGGAACTGGTTGGGATGATGAGCGTGGTTGAAACGGCTGATGCGTATGGTGATGAGTGAACTCGGCAGCGTGCACGCTACCTGGACTCAATATGTGAGCTGACGATGCGGACGGTGCCGACGTGGCAGTACTGGGCTCACAACGGCCTTGTGGAGACGGATGCATACCCGACGGGCACACACATAGACCATCAACGCACATTGCACCTCCAACACATGTGTCAAGAGGACCTAAAATTGTAATTTGGTGAGAAATGTAAAGGTACTGAACATCGTACGAACAATTTCTTGTTTGTTGGACTCTGCCGAACCCTCAAAAGCCTTCGACTGAATAAATGTTGGCCATTTTGCCCAAGAATGGAAAAAGATGTGATAACTGATAAACTAGTGATGAGAGAGAAAAGAACCGCAAAACCATTCACTCCACATTGCGCGCTAATGTGGGTGGGGTTTGCGCCACGCCCCTCACTTCTAATTGGTTGATACTCGTCATGGTGCTATCAAATTCGGAAAAGAGGAAAGACTAACCAATGAGAGGGTGGGGGCGGCAACGCAAATTCTGCG